CACAGCACTGGAGGTTGTGGGCACACCTCCTGCATGGCTTTCTGCTACAGGGATTACACGATATAGGATAGAGCAGGCACAGTAGTTACTGTTTTCATTGCTGTGACAAAATTCGTGACAAACATGACTTAGGGAAGAAGGGATTTATTCTGAGTCATGGTTAAAGAGTGGAATCAGACCATCATGATGGAAGCCAGAGATGCCTGGGCACATAGTGTCTGTATCTGTATCAGTGAGAGAAATTAATTCTGGGGTCCAGCATACTTTCTCTTTTCTTGATTTTTCTTCATTTGAGGACTCCAGCCCATGGCATTGTGCGCCCACATTCAGGGCGGCATTCTGGTGGGTCTTCTCTCCTCAGTGGAAACACCCTTATGGACATCCCCAGAGATGTGTCTCCTGATGATTCTAAATCTAGTCAAGTTGCCGCTGAAGAGCAAGCACTGCAGTGGGTATGTGACTAATATTTGTTAAATGCTTCCTTGGAAGGCTGGACAAAGACTGATAGGTTCCTGGCTCTAAGAAGTGTTCTTGAGTGGGGTGTGGTAGTGTGTCTTTAATCTCAGCACTTAGGAAGTAGAGTCAGGAGGCTCTCTATGAGTTTGAAGCCGGCCTGCCTACATAGAGAGTTCCAGGCTAGCCAAGGCTATAGTGAGACCCTATCTCAAAACAAATAAACAAAAACAAGTGTCCAGTCTATTGTCAATCATTTTATGCTTTTACTAAAGTTTATATTTCTCATCTCATTATGCTGCGCACTTCTTCTCTTTCTCTACAAGTATATATTTTACCAGCATAATGATAAAACTCTTCTGGGTTCTGTAATTTTTTGATATACTATCATGTTTGAGGTCCACTTCACTCCTAGATGTAATCAAAGCACTCAGAATTTTCTTTTGAATAATTTCATAACACAAAATCATTATTCTTTCAAAACATTTCCAAGACTTCTTGTAAGGAGTCAAAATTCTTGCTCAGGATGTTTGAAAACATCCATGTACATCAGATTGTTTTCTCACATTATTTGTGGTCAGAAGGAGTGGTCATTATCCTTAGATGAAAGAGGCAGAGACAAATTTTGTGTGTTGCTATACCCAAAGTAAAGGAATCAGAGGGTTTCTAGGCAAACATCATAAAAACCCTACTGTATTAACTAAGTAGGCAAGGAGCACATTTCTTGAACAGTATTTTTCAATGCTTAACCTCATGTTTTAACAACCCCAGATGACTCAGGTTCCAGCTTTCATGTTTCCTGGCTTGCTTTCAATGCCTGAATTCAAAAACTGAGAGATGGAACCACCCCCCCCCAACCACAGGTCACCCAGTTCGTTTCTCTGAAGGAATGAACAGATGAATCTCATAGTATGTAGATACTCCCTGTATATGTCAGCACACTTGAGGGGCAGAGAGGTCTATTCTCAGATCAGAAATACTGGGGTCAGTTTGAATCCTGGGTTAAGCTTAAAGATAGTCAAGAAATGTTCCCATGTCTGGCTTGTCTGACTTCTATGTCCCTGTTACTCAAAATATATCAAGTCATACAGAGCAGTTAAGCTCAGACACACCCTGGCCTTTAAATATGGAACTGGCCAGGGAAACAGAGATAAGAAGAAGCAATCACAAGACTGGAAAATTCTAGGATTAGCGTCTTTGTGTCCCTATATTGGGATATGGGTTCTTTGGGAAAGGGATGCAGCTGGAGCAGGGTGCTCTCTTCAACAAAGGGAGTTTTGGGAGGACAGAGGCAACCTAATCTGAGAGGCTGAAGATGCCAGGCCTGGAGCAGGGACCCAGACGACACTCCCTATGATCCCTCATGGTCCACTTGCACTAGCTCCATACGAATGGTTCTAGGAAAAGCTCCAGGATTTGGGTGCTGCCTTCTACATGATGACTGAGAGGTCCTAAACACACTTTCATGGATGCTGTGGTTGTCTTATGGAAATGTGTTTTCTAGTTCTATTGTAATAACCATCTCTTTGCCACTCATATCATGTCTTCTTTTGAATCATCTTATGTTGGAGGTCTAGTTCACACCTAGCACAAGCCATAGCTTATGAAGGCTAGTGGGATCACTGCAGCCTCTGCTGCTGAGGTTCCAAGGCCATCACCAGTATATATTGTCTCCCTTTTAAGAACTTCCCATTCTAGGCTTTCCTAACTCAGCACATCTGGTGACCTTGGTGCCTAACTTGGCTGAGGAGATAGAACCCCATTCTTGAGTGTGGTGAACTTCTGGTCACCTTGTCTTTCTCAGACCATGAATGATAGAATTATCCATGTACTATCACAGTTAGTCTGAGAAGTATCAAGAGAGATACCACTGGGGCATCATTCCTCCTGCTTACATTGTATAGCAGAAGCATTCCCTTCTCCTGAAGAACAGGTTTGATTTTCCCTATTAGGAAGGTGACTCCTAGCATGAAGGTCCTGAAGTTTCTAGGTACTTCTAGAAAGTGAATAACTCTTTCTATGTTTCATAGTGAAATTTTTCCCCTGTATATGAACCAGGCTCATCCAGGCTCCTAGGTTAGACCCAGGGATGAATAGAAATTCTTCAAGTGGCTCATACATAAACAGTTTCTTTTGCTTCATTAGTTCTTTGGCTCATGTATTCTAGTTATTGGAAACACTACTCTAAATGCTTGTTGGTCTAGGGTTGTAACATCCAGGTTAGAGTGCTCGATTTACAGGCAACACAGAATGGCTCAATCTGTTTTACTCTGAAGTGACATCAATGGCCAGGAATTCTTACTAGTGAAAGGGCATGGCAGAAGGCATTTCCAGCAGTAATCAGATTGATGACAATGTCTGAGTTCCAGAGGAGGGCCGTCTTGGGTGAAGTGGAGCCATGGATCATAAATAGATAAGCAGAAGCAGTCAAGGCAAATTCTCAGGTTTCTGGATCAGAATAAGTTGGATAGAATTTTGAATCATTAAAACTTTTATTTAAATTTGTTACATGGAGATAAGAAGAGGCAGTCATCAGGCTGGAAAATGCTATCAGGGTCTTTATACCCATGTGTTGACCGGCTTTGGGATATGAGTAGTCTTCAAAAAAGGATGCCACTGGGGCAAGGGGACTCTCTTAGGTGGGAGTAATATTTCCACCTCTTACAACCTCAATGACTGTCATAGATTTGGCTCCCTGGGAAGCAGACTTTGAGACTCAGAGATGGGCACAGGTGCCTCATTGGGGAATAGGCAGAGGAAAGGAGGGAAACAGGTAGGGCAAGTGAAGGGAGCATTGGGCTATGAAGTAATTGGTATAAATATTTCAGAATTTTTTTTAATGGAGGAAGCTCTGAGGCCAAGAGGACTATTTGAAGTATTGCCTGGTTTAATGAGCCTTTGGCTAAGCTAGAGTCTCAGAGATGAGACTAAATCTCTCTTCAAAATAATGAAAGAAGGAGACCACATGGAAAATACTTTTTAAAACTCTGGATATCAAGTAGTGAATGCTGGATTTCGATATGAGATGAAAAATAAATAGAGTTCTATGATTTCCTAGGGTTTTTACCTTAAAAGAGTTTCCAAGACATACTCAATGAGAGGGAGTCAAGGTAGACAACCATCTGTAACTCCAGTTCCAGGGGATCCAGTGCCCTCTTCTGACCTCAGAGAGTGCCAGGCACATATATGGTGCACTTACATACAAGCATCAAACACTCATACCCATAAAATAAAAGATAAATCTTAAAATAAGTCAGATTTAATGCAAATTGGGAAGCTCAGTAACAAGGAAAACACACCAAAGTACCTTATTATCAAGATATTTCAAAGTCAATGGTAACAAGAAAAATCTTAACACCAGGCAGAGGGAAAACACATGCTATGTGCAGAACAGTGATACAAATGACAACGATGCTTTAAAGCCAGCGAACAGTAATTATAGAGAACAGTAGCCTTCAATGGGATATAATGAAAGCAGACGTTCATTAGGAATAGAGCATATTTTGATCACACACACTCTTCATCACTCTCTCTTACTCTCCTCTCCAATCCACTTCCTCCTTTCAAATAGCAACTCCCTTCTGCTTCCAAGCCACACCCCCATTCCCTAAATTTCACATTTGAGAAAAAAATGTAAATATTCGTCTTTATGATTCTGGCTTATTTAACTCAATATAGCAATCTCTAGTTCCATCCATTTCTCTGCAAAAGGCATCATTTGTTCATCTTTGTGGCTGAACAATATTGATATGTATACACATGTATTATACATATATCATAGGTTAACAGGTACTTAGGCTGCTTTCATAACATGGGTATTATGAATCTGCCACAACAAATACATGTAAGCAAGTATATGATGTATGATGACTGTGAGTCCTTGGGGTATAAACCCAGGAGTGATATAGTTAGACTGTATGATAGATCTACTTTAGGTTTTTTTTTTTTCCTTTTTGAGACAGGGTCTCCCTGTAGCCCCAGCTGTCCTGGAACTCACTATATAGATCAGGCTGGCCTTGAACTCACAGAGATCTGCCTGCCTCTGCCTACTGAAGGCTGGGATTAAAGGTATATGCCACCACACCTGGCTTCCTTTCTTTTTTAAAAAGTATTTATTATTTATTATTTTTTATTTTGCATCTATGAGTGTATTGCCTGTATGTATGTAAGTGCTTGTAGTGCAGTGCTCAAGGAGTCAGAAGAAGGTGTCGGATCCCCTTGAACTGGAGTTACAGATGGTTGTTAGCTGCCATGTAGGTGCTGGGAATTGAACCTGGGTCCTCTGCCAGTGCTTTTAACCGCTGAGCCATCTCTCCAGCCCCCTTTCCTTCTCCTACATTTCCTTCGCCTTGATACAGAGGTATATTTTTTTAAATCTTGCTGCATAAGAGATGGGACACAAATGAAGTGAATTTTGTGAATTCAATTGAGTAAGTATCCCCCCACATCCTGCAACATACATATAAGATTAACAAACTTTCTTATCCTGGGTTAGGCCTTGACTTAAAGATCTTAACATTTTCCCAGAAGAAGTCAGATTGATAAAATGAGTATCAAATCAGAATTTTATTATATATAATCACACATCTCAACACTGTACTTTAAGTACTCAACCTGGGGACAGGAAGAGGGGCACAGCCAGACAGATTATGTAGGAAACAAACATGTGTATGTGTCTGAATATTTCAGTAATGCTGCTGCAGGGGGTACAAAACAGGACTTCAGACTCCAGACAAAATAGTTTTTTCTTTTTTTGTCTTCTTATTCAGCCCCTCGACGCTTCCTGAAATAGCGGTTATAGGCAGCATTGTACCCATAGACCATGGCGTAGCGCTCACAGAGTTTGTAATCGTCACAGGCTTCCCGGTTGATCTCATAGGCAGGCTTGTTACGTTCCCGGACTCTGAAGGATAGAAAAGGAGACCGTGGTTGAAAACCAGAAAGACAATGCCATTCAGAATAAAGGAAAGAAAGTTTAAGGAAATTCTGGAGAGAGCCTCTTCCCTCAGTTCTAAGAGATATTTGAAGACCAAAGATAGAGGGGAGGATTAGTTTTGATTTTGAATTTATTTTTATAGGTAAAACCAGTAGTTTTCTTCTTGTATTCTTTTCCTCTCTTGCTCTCTATCCTTTCTAAGCATTAATAAACGTTCAGTTAATTTATCTATGTTGTTCTACAATTCTTTGAGTTCAAGACACAGTTAGAAATAATCAATGATGAAACCTTTCTCCTTCAGTTCAAATTTGTGATCTCTCTGGGAAAAATACCTTCCCCGCATCAGTTTCTGGTACCTACCTCTCTTGGGCTTTAGCTCTCCATCTCTGATGAGGGGACATAAAGGTGTTAGCATTTCTCCTGTTGATGAAGGGACCTTAAACCAGAAAATAAATAACAGCAGCTGAAAATATTTCCATGAATATTCTGAAGTATAAATACATCTGAAATCTCATTAATTTATTGTATTTTCTGTAACCAGAGAAAGGTAAAAGTTAAGGGGAAATACAAAGCAGATTTTATAAACTGCGTGATCAAAAGAAGCGAATAGGCCATTTATGCATCTTGGGAACTTGTCACACAGGCCATAACAAATCTTACTGGCTTTCTTCTTGTGTATTCTTTCACTTTTGGTGATACCCATTTGGTGGGTTGTGAATGTATTTGAGAAGAAATTCTCTCACCCTCAGGACTTATAAAGTATAACTTAGATTACCAGCACACGAGCAACTTAATATGAAAATTAGAAACAAATTAAAAACAAGTGGCTCATGCCTATAATCCTAAAACTTGGGAAATAGAGGCAGGAGGTCCAGGAGTTCAAAGTTATCCTCAGCTACATTAGTGAATTGGAGGCCAAACTGGCTTACAGGAGACCCTGACAAAACAAAACAAAACAAAACAACAAAACAAACAGAAAAAAACAAATGCCAGCTAACCAAATAGACAAAAAGAGTGTGTTTCTATTTGCTGCTGAGGTCAGCCTTTCCGTCTGGATATTCAAGGGCACCGAACTTGATGCTGACGCCTGTGGTGCCCCAGCTGACTGGCTGGCTCTGTGCTTTCTCCTTTACCCTCATTCTTCAGTTTCCATCTATGAGGCTGATGTGGTGTCAACTTAAAATTTCCAGATGGGATTTTCTGGCTCCTTGGTGCATTGGATATAACTTAATTGTCACATTTCATAACTTCAAACTTCCAGTGTTGCTTCCTTGGACATTTAAAATCACTGGATTTTAAAATTTAGTTCTCCAGAATAGAACCGTTTTTTTTTCCTCCCTGTTACAGGCCTTACTATGTTTTTAAAAATGGGGGATGATATTATTTAATGCAAGAAATTGAAATAAGGAAGTCAAATGTTCACTTACTAATTTCATAGGACTCCATGCTTTCATGAGATTCTGGAATTAAAAGAAGGATTCATTTTAGACTCATTTGTCATACTCTGTAATTGTGTAAATGCAGAGGGAGAAGGAGACGGGAGAGTTAAAAAGCAGTGAAGAGTGTATTTAGCAAGGTGGTTGTTAACACAATTCAGGAATCTAGGATTTACAAGTTATTTCTTTGCTTTGGGTATCTCTACGATTGTTTATCAGGTGTTGAAAAGGTAGTTGCCAGTTTGGACTAAGATTTCCCAAAGGCTCTGAAATCTTCAGACATCTATTATAGGGCATGTTAAGTGCAGCACAGAGGCTTCCAGAATGCCCTCTTTTCTCCTGTATTTGGGGATCTGGATGTTACAGGAGGGTATGGAGCAGCCAGACCTTTTGGGGTGGGAAGCTGCAGGACTGTTATTCAGCAGTCAGACCCAGACAGTTTCTCAGAGGGTTTTGAAAGGCTCTTAAGAGCGTGTGGTAAATTGGCAGCCTCAGAAACCACTGACTAGGGCTCATGGCTTATCCTGGGCACAATGCCAGGGCGCAGAGATGTCAAAGCAAAAGCTTCTGCTTTCTACCTTTCTCCTGAGTGCACCCAGCAGACTGAGAATAAGGGCCTGATGCTTATAAAGCGAGTCTGCTTAAAAAGTTAAAGGCAAGGAAATCAAATCCTCTTACACGGAAAATTCATGAATTATTTGAAAAATGAGAAGCATGATATTTAGGGCTGCTCATGCAATCTAATTTTAAAAGCAGCTGAATATCAGTATAATTTAAACAGAATTATGTAAATAATTTGACTTCAAACTCTCTTTTCTAAGCTTTGAACAAGCTTAGATACACTTAATATATAGGTAGCAGATGAAATTTATTATTTGAAAACAAGTTATGAAATTGATTTTTTTTCTAAAATTTAATCGTAAAATTTCCTTAAAAAATGAATTCACAGAATAGATGTAGTAAGCTCATGATTTTATCTTGTCCTTAGAAAGGGATAACTCATTAATACTTCCCACAAAAACTGATTTTCTTAAAGGTAAATGATTCAATCAGTATCCTTAACCCATCAACACCAAAGTCTAAATAAACATTCTTAAAAATAAGACTACAGGGGTTAGGAATTTAATATCCTCTTCTAGAAATATCTGAGTTTCCAGGGTTTATTTGTTAAATTGTTTACATGCATCTGTATAATTTAGAATATAAAACAAATTTTGATGGTGTGACCAATGACCATGGAGACAGGGAAAACTTAAATTCATGGTGCGCTGGGATTATAACGGAGAAAGGGGGAAGAAAAGGAGGAGGAGGAGGGTAAAAGGAAACAGAAGTTAAGTTGAGGCGGGAAAGAGAAAGGAGAAAGGGGGAAGAAAAGGAGGAGGAGGAGGGTAAAAGGAAACAGAAGTTGAGGCGGGAAAGAGAAGCCAGGTTGACGGCCCAGAGAAGGATTTCTCACCGTAACACAAAGCTGCCAGGGCCAAGGCAGCCAGGACGGCGAGAGGGAGCAGGCTCTTCATGGTGTCTGGCTGTCCCGCGGGTCTGCTTCTGAGTCTTGCACGGAGCAGTAGGCAGAGGCTCCTACAAACTGTTAGGGAAAGGCTGAGCTGTTTTTATAAGAACTTGAGTGGCTGAAGGGGAAGGAACCAGAGGGAGGGGCTGGAAAAGGTGGGATGGCTTGGCACTAAATTTGCTCTGGGACTTTTCCCAAATATTCATTCCTTCCAGATAGTATCTACACAGCGTGGGCGGTTTTCCCTCACTCTGGTCCTGGCTGTGCTACAGCAGGATGCTGTCCTGGTGCAGAAGTTGTAGCCACCCTATGTTTGGGGGCCAGACCTGGGCAGAGGTCCATGACAGGGCAGTTGCTAGGAACACAGGTTTGCCTTTCTAATTCCCCCTCTGATCGGCTTTTCTGGCCCTGACCACAGGCCATCTGGGCTTGAGCCACAGACAGAGCCACAGTGTTCTGCTCACTAGCCAGATGTACAGAGGGGAGGTCCTGGAGGAGAAAGGCCCTCTGCTCTCTATGCTGCTAGAGCGTAGACATCTTCACAGTAGGGCAGAATCTTCAGGTCTAGCGTTTGCCCAATGATAGGCACCACTCATGTTTTCCAAAGGACTCAGTAGAGTAGAGATGTTGGGTACCCCAACCCTTCCCTACTGGTCCAACCCCATGCCCTAATGCTGTCTCAGGCTGATGCCACTGATTGAGGATGTGCAGCAAGAAGAGAACACTGTCATATTCCTAAAGAACCGCCTTCCTAAAGAGCTGATTGCATGGCTTTTACTAAGTGGCTGATAAGATGCACAGCACAGTGCTAGGTGCTTTGTGGGAGTCACAGACTAGAAGGATGCATCTCTAGGAGTCAGTAACAGCTCAGGGCTATGCACTTGGCCCTTAGCTGGCCAGCCTATTTGCACTGTCCCCTGAGATCCTGGGGGGAGAGCTTTTTCTTTTCTTACAAGAGGATTTCAATTTGGTGCCTCTGGTTATCTTAAGGATCTCTTTCTCCTTCAGGAAACTTTTTCTACCCTATGGATGCCTCTGATGCTTGGGAACCCATTAAGACTTCTTTGTAGACCAACAGACTCAGGTCTCAGAAGCAAGTTGTAGAACAGTAACAGCTTAGGGACCCAAGACATGCGTGAAATGGCGAAAGGGCTGGCTGGCTTGTTTTACTTTTCAGTTTTGAAGTGTTTGAAGGAGTAATGAACCTCTTGGAGGAGGCTCATGGTTCTTCCTTGGAGTCTTTCTGGGATAGGGTTGCTTTTGCTCTTTCAACTGGGAAGACATTTTACAAACACTAAAGGATTCTCCGTTAAACAGCATAGCTAAATTGTAACTTATAAGATTAGCGAGTTCTAAAGAACCAGTAAATTTCAGGTTTTCCTTTCAATTTTTCAAAAGTATTTATTTAGAGACTGGAGAGATAGCTCAGTAGTTAAGACCTCTTGCTGCTTTTGAAGAGGACTAGAGTTCAGTGTTCAGTACTCACTTTGGGCCTCTCATAACTTCCTATACCTCCAGGTCCGGGGGATCTATGCCCTCTTCCTGCTTCCTTGGATACCTGCACACACGTGCACATACTAACACATACACACACACACACACACACACACACACATAAATAAAAGTAGATAAATCTTTTAAAAATTATTTATGTGTAGGCTGGGCATGGTGGCACACACCTTTAATCCCAGCACTTGGGAGGCTGAGGCAGGTGGATTTCTTGTGAGTTCAAGCCCAGCCTGATCTACACAGCTTCCTCTGACCTCCACATGCCTGCCATGGCACTCGTCAAAAAGACCAAATAAATAAATAAATAAATAAATAAATAAATAAATAAATAAATAAATAAAGTCTTAAATCCCTCTCTTAACTTCTCTACAATGATCAGATCAGGGTAACAGTGTATTTATGACTTCATGCACATTAGCTGTCTTTCCCAACCAGATCCCAGAGGTCTTTTCCTTTGTCCACAAATTCAAATGACAAAAGTGCTCTTTCAGCCTTCTGCCATTGTGACTGTTCATTTTCGCATTCTCTGAAAACCTTATACTTCTTTTTCCAACTTAAGCGTTTCACCTTTTCTTGCAAGTTGTTTTAATACTGTTTCACTGTTTTCCCTTGGCATGTGGAGCATTGGTTTTTGTAAGGCTGACACACTCTTTCGGGTGCTCACTAGTTCCTGTCTTTCTCATAGTTCATCTATTTCTGAGTTTCCTGAGGTAAATACCATTCACAAGCCAAGCGTGAAAACTGTTAACGTATGTTAGACTGCTTTTGCCCTTTCTCATGTTAATCTCTGTCCCAAATATAATTTTGAACTCCAATCACATCTTTTTTGTTTGTTTCTTTATGGTGCTGGGAATCTAATCTAAGGCCTTCTGCTTGTAAAGTAAGATGATAAGTGTATCTTCTTCCCCTCTAAGTCACGTGTAAATTTTTGTATGTATATGTCAGTGTCTGTTTACACATATGTGGAGTGTATGTGTGAGTAAGTGTTTTGGTGCTCAGTGTCATCTTCAGTTGCCCTCCATTTTATTTTTTGAGACAGAGTCTCTTACTGAACCTGTAGCTGGCCAATTTGGCTAAAGTGGATGGTCGGAAAGCTCAGGGATCCTCCTGTTTCTGCCTCTGCCTCTGCCTTTTGAGCTCTGGGATTACAGTGTGTACCACTGTGTCTCACTTTTTAACATGGGTTCTGAGGGATCCAACTCAAGTCCTCATGCTTGTGTGGTAAGCACTTTAATGACTGAGGTATCACCTCAGTCCCTACTGTATTTTATAAAGAGGACATACACTACTTTGTGAACAGGGATGGGACTTTGCAGAAAGACTCATCAGAATAAAAAGAGAAGAAGAAAATGGACATAGAAAAGAAGTGGAGAGGGAGAAAGGAGCAAGAAACCAGATCTTTGTGGATTTGGTTTGTTAGGTAAGTTTTAGCTAGGGTTTGAGTTATATATAGGGAAAAAAACCCATTTAACAATCTTTTGGAATGTGAATTGTATTAAAAATGAGATATGGGGGACTGGAGGGATGGCTCAGCAGTTAAGAGCACTGACTGCTCTTGCAGAGGACCAAGGCTCAATTCCCAGACCCCACAGTAATGGCTCTCAACAGTCCATCACTCCAGTCCAGGGGATCTGACACCTTCTTCTAGCCTCTACAGGCATTGCATGACACTTGGTGCACTCACATACAAGCAGGCAATACACTCATACACATAAAATAAAAATAATAAAATATTTTTTAAAATGAGACATAGGAAAAGACAAAGAAGTTACTTTGGTGATCAGTAGAGTTGTTTGAGATTGTAAGGTATTGCTTGGGAATCACCAGGAGCTATTTGTACTTTTAAAATTAATTTTAGTGATAGTTTGTATTTTCTTTATTTTTTGATTGATTTATTGTTATATGTGTCTGAGTGTTTTACCTGCATGTATATGTGTACCCTTGCATAGTGTCCATGGAGACCAGAAGAAGGTGATGAATCCCCTGGAACTGGAGTTACCAATGTTTGTTAGTTGCCACGTGGCAATCAAACCCAAGTCCTCTGCAAGAGCAGCCAGTGCTCTTAACTACTGGCCTATCTCTCCAGCCCGTTTGTATTTCTTAACTGAGATAACTTGCAAATGCTGAATCAACTGAAGTTCCAACTTATATTTGGATTTAGATGATTATGATTGGCGTCTATAGAGCTGTTTACCCCTATAAAGAGAAGTGTTATTTAGTGGAGAGAATGATTGAACACTCCCAGGAGTGTCAACAAAAAATATAAGGCAGTGATTTCAGTGCTAGTTTTCCAATTTCCACATAATTTCCTCAAACAAGATTGGCAGTGTGATAACCTGGGAAACAGAAGGCACAGAGAAATTCAAGATTGGATGACCACCTGCTGTCAGGAAGAGAATATAATGATTGTCTGCCAAGGTCAGAAGTAGCCTCATGATTTTAGCCAAGCATCAATTTGCTCATCTATTCATCCAACCATCCACCCATCCATCCAACCATCCACCCACTCATCCATCCATCCATTCATTCATCCACTCACTCATCTATCCCCTCACCTACCTATTCATCCCCCACCCATCCGTCTATCCATGGTCCATCCATCCATCCATCCATCCATCCACCCATCCACTCATCCATCTGTTCATCCATTCATTCACTTACCAATCCAGTATGTTGAGTATTTCCTATGTGTAATTATAGGATGGAAATAGAAAAGAGAAAAAAAAATACATTACGGTTCCTCACCCATTGAGGGATCTTTTAGAGTACAGATTTAAGTAGTATCTTATCCTAGCTAAAGTTTGTTTAGGCAGCCAGCTGACCTCAGAGACGATGAAGTGATAAGCCTTCTCACTGGGCCAATCTTTCCTATGGCACTCACCTGCATCTCTATTTCCAGAACATCACAAAAAGCATTGATGAAAATTTGGTACTACAGAATTCAGGGAGACAATGGGAGAAAATTGCCAGAGTTTCTAGGAATTACTATTGGCAGATGCTTTTCAGAAAAGTGTATTGGAAGACAGAGCAAAGGAGTTATTGCCATTCTACAGCGTTTCAGAGGCTATGATAGTGACACAGGAATTACAAGACATGTATTTTCTCTACCCATCCTACGTCCCCTCTCTGTCCTTACTTCGCCTTTTTCTAGCAAGCTCTTTTTCAAAGGGCTAAGCATTTTGTCTCTGAGGAATTTTCCTGGCTCCAGTAAAAAAAAATTTTTTTTTTTGCTGTTCCATGAGATTCAACTTTATTTACAGAATGTTGGTTTTATGAGTTCATTTTTTTTTTTTTTCAGTGGCAGCACTAAAATCCTTATTCTCGCCAGCAAAGAAGAAAGCAAATGAGAACAGAGTTACGGAGCGGCAACCCTGAAGATAAAAACAGAAATCACTTTCTAGGACACTGAAGGACAATGATTTGAGACACAGAATCTGGCCAACTTTATGGACTCTTAAAGGGGTGCTCCTCAAGTGGAGTCTTGTCACCTCTGTTCCTTAAGTGATAGATTCCAGGCATAGAATCACTTACCCTTGTCCTTAATTTGTCTCAGCTGAATTAAGTATTTTAACTTATTTTCAAACATTTGTCA